GAGGGAAGCCTGTGTTTTGTCTCTGAGTGTTTTGGTGACTTTTACTCAGGTTTCAGGGAGCCTGAGAAAATCTTGAAAATTAGCTATATTTTTTCTTTTCCTTTTTTTTAAAAAAGATTTTATTTATTTATTTTAAAGTTAAAGTTACACAGAGAAGGAGAGGCAGAGAGAGAGGTCTTCCATCCACTGGCTCACTCCCTAATTGGCCACAATGGTCAGAGCTGCGCCCATCCAAAGCCAGGAGCCAGGAGCTTCCTCCAGGTCTTCCCATGCAGGTGCAGGGGCCCAGGGATTTGGGCCATCCTCCACTGCTTTCCCAGGCCATAGCAGAGAGCTGGATCAGAAGTGGAGCACCTGGGTCTCCAACCAGCGCCCATATGGGATGCTGGCACTGCAGGCAGCAGCCTTACCCACTATGCCACAGTGCTGACCCCATCTGTATTTTTTCTTTAAAGATGTATTTATGTATTTGAAAAAGCAGAGTGAGAGAGAATCTTCCATTGCTGGTTCACTCCCTACTTGGCTGCAACAACCAGATCTGGGCCAGGCTGAAGCCAGGAGCCTTAAATTGCATCCAGGCCTCCCACTTGGGTGGCAGGAGCCCAAGTACTTAGGCCGTTTTCCACTGCTTCTTTCCCAGGTGCGCTAGCAAGGAGCTGCATCAGAAGTGGATTCAAACTCAAGTGGATTCAAATTCAATATGGAATGTCCTTGTCACAAGGGGAGGCTGTGGGGAGCAACTCAGACTAGACTAAGTTACTGGAATTAGGACTTATTCTATGCATCTGCTCTCCCACAATATGGCGCTGGGAGAGGAGTAAAAACAGCTTCTACACAGCTGCCTCCAGTTCAACCAATAGACTGTGGGACCTGCTCCTGATTGGAGGAGAGCAGCGTACTCGGTGTGTGGGTAGCAGAGTTGGGATTGGTGGAAGAGGACTACAAAGGAGGAGAAAGACAGCATGCACCAGGAACATCTAAGGGGAACATCTATCTGAAGGAACACCTGTGCAGCCCCCGAGAGAGCCGGCCGGTGGTGTGCCGCTCCCCCGCGGAAGTGGGGAATGTGGCAGGGGGAACCGCCCTTTCACAGAGGTGGAAGGGTCGGTAGCCAACCCGGGAAGAACCAGCAGCAAACCCGGGGAGGGCCAAGCAGACAAAAGAACAGCGCAGGGTCCTGTGTCGTTCCTCCACGAAGACGGGGAGCGACATAATGGTGCCGTGACTCGGATATGAAGCCTAGGCAGGGTTTAGTGTCGTTCCTCCGCGAAGAGGGGGAGCGACATAATGGTGCCGTGACTCGGATATGAAGCCTAGGCAGGGCTTAGTGTCGTTCCTCCACGAAGAGGGGGAGCGACATAATGGTGCTGTGACTCGGATAGGAAACCTAGAAGGGAAGAAGCAGGAAAATACCGGAGAGAGAGACTAGAAGAGCCTAGGGGAAAGCCGGACGGAAAAGGTGCCGGAAGAAGCTATTGAAAGCCTAGGCATAGACTTGGATACGGACTGTGGGAAAGAAGTTAGGATTTAAAGTGAAAGCAAGAAGAAACTTAGACTCAGATACGGACTGCAGGTTGAAAGTGAAAGTGAAACCTATAAGAAACTTAGACTTGGATACGGACTGTGGGGAGAGGCCAGGAGAAATGAGGGAGGAATATTGTTGGAAGAAAACTTAGGGAAACATACCGGGTAGAGAAAAATATTAGGGAGGATGAAGCCGCGAGTGCAGGCCGAGGCGGAGACGTAAGCCAGCTTGGAATTCTTCAAGTCAGCCCGGGGAGCAAAAGGCGAAAATCTGGAACCAGAGGCAGAGACGTGGGCCACCAGGTTGGAATTCGCCAGGTTAGTCCGGGGAACTTGAACTGAATACCAGCGGCGGAGACGTGAGCTACGCTGTGTGATTTGCGGAAGCCGCCGCGTGCAGAGAGAGCACGGGGCGTGAATAGATAGGGAACGCGGGGGCTGGCGCGAGGCCGTGGTGTGGGCGCAAAGGGCGTGGAGACCGCGGAGTGTGCGCGCGAAGCCGAGCCACGCAGAGCCGGGAGCCCGCCGCAGGGCGGGTGCCGAGAAGCCGCACAGATGAGAGAAGCGCGGGCTGAAGCGGCTCAGAGCCGGGAAGCCGCCGAGAAGCAGCCTCGGGGCGGGCGCCAGGAAGCCGCAGGGATAAGAGAAACAGAAATTTAGAAGTAAAATGAGAGAAATAGGAATGCTGGCAGATAGAAGTAAAATGGGAGAGATAGGAATGCCCGGAGATAGAGAAATAGACAAAAATAAGGCCTCCCCTCAACATGGCAATGAGAGAGCTTGGATTCGGTCTGCCTGATTAAGGAGGTGGTGAGCACCTGCGGGCGGCTAGCAGCTTATGCGCTGCAGGTCACCGAAGACAGGCACGAATTAACATCAATAAGTCTCCCCACAATACGGCAATGAGAAGGCTTGGATTCGGTTTGCCTGATAGGGCTTGTAAGCACCTGCATGCAGTTCTAGCAGAGCAGAGCATGCGCTGCAGGGCACCGAACACAGGCACGCATCAGCGCCTAAAAACCTCCTCACAACATGGCGAAGAGAGGACCCGGATTCGGTTTGCCTTATTGGTAGGGCTTGTAAGCACCTGTGGGCAACTCCAGCAAGTAGAGCAGAGTGTGTGCCACGGGGCACCGAAGACAGGCGCGTATCAACGCCAAAAAATAAAAAGAAAGGGGGATCTGTGGGGAGCAACTCGGACTAGACTAAGTTACTGGAATTAGGACTTATTCTATGCATCTGCTCTCCCACAATATGGCGCTGGGAGAGGAGTAAAAACAGCTTCTACACAGCTGCCTCCAGTTCAACCAATAGACTGTGGGACCTGCTCCTGATTGGAGGAGAGCAGCGTACTCGGTGTGTGGGTAGCAGAGTTGGGATTGGTGGAAGAGGACTACAAAGGAGGAGAAAGACAGCATGCACCAGGAACATCTAAGGGGAACATCTATCTGAAGGAACACCTGTGCAGCCCCCGAGAGAGCCGGCCGGTGGTGTGCCGCTCCCCCGCGGAAGTGGGGAATGTGGCAGGGGGAACCGCCCTTTCACAGAGGTGGAAGGGTCGGTAGCCAACCCGGGAAGAACCAGCAGCAAACCTGGGGAGGGCCGAGCAGACAAAAGAACAGCGCAGGGTCCTGTGTCATTCCTCCACGAAGACGGGGAGCGACAGGAGGCTTAACCAGCTATGCCACAACACCTGCCTTTGTACTGACTTTTTTTTTTTCTTTTAAGATTGATTTATAGGGCTGGAGCCATGGTGTAATGGGTAAAGCCACTGCCTGCAGCACCGGCATCCCAGCTGCTCCACTTCCAATCCAGCTCCCTACTAATGCACCTGGGAAAGCAGCCGAGGGTGGCCCTGGGCCCCTGCATCCACAAAGGAGACCCAGAGGAAGCTCCTGGCTCCTGGCTTCTGAATGGCCCAGCTCTGGCCGTTGCAGCTGCAGTTTGGGGGAGTGAACCAGCAGCTATGGAAGATCTCTTTCCCTCTCCCTCTCTCTCTGTGTAACTCTGACTTTCAAATAAATGAATCTTTTTAAAACTTTATTGATTTATTTGAAAGGCAGTTTTACCCACCATGCCACAACACTGGCCCCATCTATATTGACTTTGAGAACACATTCTATTTCATCAAACCAAAGAAATCTTTTAAACTGAGCCATGCGTGCAAGTTTTCACTGTTTATTCGTGTCCACTGGCTAAGCTTCACTCACACCACACTCTTCTCTTAGACACCCTTGCCCCACTGTTATGCCCTGGTTTGCTCTACTGTTGGTAGAATTTTGAATTGATATCAGATTACATTGTGTCAGGAAGTGGTAAGGGTTTGTGTGGGGAGCAACTCAGACTAGACTAAGTTACTGGAATTAGGACTTATTCTATGCATCTGCTCTCCCACAATATGGCGCTGGGAGAGGAGTAAAAACAGCTTCTACACAGCTGCCTCCAGTTCGACCAATAACCTGCAGGAGCTGATCCTGCTCCTGATTGGAGGAGAGCAGCATACTCGGCGTGTGGGTAGCAGAGTTGGGATTGGTGGAAGAGGACTATAAAGGAGGAGAGAGACAACATTCACCAGGAACATCTAAGGGGAACATCCAGATAACATCTGAGCAGCCCCTGAGAGAGCCGGCCGGCGGTGTGCCGCTCCCCCGCGGAAGTGGGGAAAGTGGCAGGGGGAACCGCCCTTCCACGGAGGTGGAAGGGATAGTAGCCAACCCGGGAAGAACCAGCAGCAAACCCGGGGAGGGCCGAGCAGACAAAAGAACAGCGCAGGGTCCTGTGTCGTTCCTCCACGAAGAGGGGGAGTGACAGGTTTGGATGGTGACACCCAGATTCCTTTATTGTGATCTGATCCTTGTTTTAATTTCAGAAGGAGAGTTGGGCCCTGCACTGTGGTATAGTGGGTAAAGCAGCTGCCTGCACTTCCGGCATCCCCTATGGGCACTGGTTTGAGTCCCAGCTGCTCCACTTTCCATCCCCCTCTCTGCTATGGCCTGGGAAAGCAGTAGAAGATGGTCCAAGTCCTTGGGCCCCTGCACCTGCATGGGAGACCCACAAGAAGCTCCTGGCTCCCGGCTTCAGATCGGCACAGCTCCGGGCTTTGCAGCCATTTGGGGAGTGAACCAGCAGATAGAAGACTCTCTCTCTCTCTCTCTCTCTTTTTTTCTTTCTGCCTGTACCTCTCTGTAACTCTTCCTTTCAAATAAATAAATAAATCTTAAAAAAAAAAAAAGGAGCGGTACATTCAGATAAGTATCTGAGTCTATTTAAAACTTATTAACCCTGTGTCAGAGGAAGGACACCCGGTCTCGTGAATCCAACATTGAAACATGAGTTGATGCTTTCTGCTTTCAGATTTTTTTTTTTTATTTTGGTTTGTTTCTTTTCAGGAGCAAAGCTACCCAGTAATCCCATTATTCACTTTTGATGCCCTGACACTTTTGAACTTTTAAAACTGTTTTCTTTGGTCTGCACAGCTCGTACCCCCCACAAGACGTGGAGGAGCCACAGGGAAATGCAACTGATTCTCACTGTGAAAGAAAGGATTATGGGATCTCTACACCAGGCCTCGAGGCTGGCGTTAAAAAAAAAGAAAAAGAACTGCTGATGTCCACATAACCTGTGTCTCTTAAGTAAATCAAACTTGGAATTCAGCCTCACTGCCTCGGAGTCATTTTGGTTCCTGCCAGCAAGAATATTAATGAACTTAGTGCCTCCGTGGGCTCACTCATGGGGAGCATGCCTACCTCCTTCCTTGTTCCAGCCCTGCCCCTGCTCCATCTGATGAGCTGGGAAGCTGGGAGATGTCTCAGAAACCCAGGTCTTTCCCTCAAACCCAGCTGGTTAGCAGTGTTCTCTGATTCTTCTGTCTTGCTTTTGGATGTCAAAAAGAAGAGTTTCTCGGGCATGAGTTTGAAAAAAGCAAGCCAGGGGCTGGCACCATGGTGCACAAGGTTAATCCTCCGCCTGCGGTGCCGGGTTCTAGTCCTGGTTGCCCCTCTTCCAGTCCAGCACTCTGCTGTAGCCCGGGAAGGCAGTGGAGGATGGCCCAGGTGCTTGTACCCTGCACCCGCGTGGGAGACCAGGAGGAAGCACCTGGCTCCTGGCTTCGGATTGGCGCACCACAGGCCGTAGCGGCCATTTGGGGGGTGAACAGATGGAAGGAAGACCTTTCTCTCTGTCTCTCTCACTGTCTATAACTCTACCTGTCAAATAATAAATAAAAAAGAAAGAAAGAAAAAAGCAAGCCATACACTAGCAGTTCTTGTCATGACCAAGCAGGGAATTCAGCTTAACTCTGACTTTATCCTTCCTGCTTTTATTCTCTTTTTGACAATGATAAATAATCCAAATTTGCTTTTGGACTTTGGCTTATCTCCATGGAGTCACAGTTACAGGAATATTCCAAACAAGTAGTAATCCCTCGATTTCCCAAAATCATGAAAGTGGTATAGGAAGCATGCTAACATTAACAGGAGCTAAATGTGTCAAAAATAGTAAAGACCATAAACCATAAACCATTTGGGGAGTGAACCAGTGGATGGAAGATCTTTCTGTGTCTGTCTCTCTTTCTCTCTGCTTCTCTGTAACTCTGCCTTTCAAATAAATAAATCTTAAAAAAAAAAAAAAAAAAGTAAACCAGTTCACGCTTATCTTCGATTTAGCATCACCTAGTCTGTGACTATACCACCCTGAATGTGCCCACTCTCCTGTGATCTTGGAAGCTCAGCAGGACCAGGCCGGGCAGTATTTGGATGGGAGAATCACCTGGAGCTCTCTTTAAGCTTCCAAAGCCCATACCCAGGCATCAGGGATTTTTTTTTTTTTCCCTGTTGGTTTTTTTTTTTTTTTTTTTGGCCAGGCAGAGTTAGACAGTGAGAGAGAGATAGAGAGAGAGTTATAGACAGTGAGAGAGAGGCAGAGAGAAAGGCCTTCCTTTCATTGGTTCACTCCCCTAATGGCCGCTGTGGCCGGCACTGCGCCAATCCAAAGCCAGGAGCCAGGTGCTTCCTCCTGGTCTCCCATGCGGATGCAGGGCCCAAGCACTTGGGCCATCCTCCACTGCCCTCCAGGGCCACAGCAGAGAGCTGGCCTAGAAGAGGAGCAACCGGACTAGTGGCCGGCGCCCCAACCGGGACTAGAACCCAGGGTGCCGGCGCCACAGGTGGAGGATTAGCCTAGTGAGCCACGGCGCCTGCCCAGGAATGTTTTGGTCCCTAGTTGATCCCAACATGTACACAGGCTTGGGAACCACAGATGTATCCAAAATAGGTAACTGCAATTCTTTAAAGTTTTGTTACAATTTTTTTGTGACACCAAAAGTTTTATATGTAAGGTATTTCATTTTCAGATACTGAAAGCTTCGTGTGCAGTTGGTTTTATGAAACTATGGTCTGCCAGGATGACATTTTTTCCATGCTTCGGGTGATTGCTTTAGAATTCCTTCTCTGAGTTAGTCAAACACAACTTTAAAATACCTAACTCGGGGGCGCTATGCTCTTTGGGTGAGCATTGTCCGTTTGCCCTGCTTAAAGAAACAGAATTTGACACAAATTGATAAGTATTTAAATGTTTCTGTGTATACTTACATATTACTTATTGAAGCTACTACTGGCTGTCCAAAATTGAGGAAGGTAGGATTTTAAATACAGCAAAAATTAATCACTCATAGATGGTGGATTTGCATGATACCTTTTTATCAAAACTCAGAACTCTAGCCTTGTACAAATAACATGCTGTTTTATAAAAATTTAAATTTAAATTTAATTTAATTAGAGAAATTAAAACTAACAATGTAACTCAATTAAACAATTTGGGAGTAGTTGTGGTACAGTGGGTTAAGCTGCCACTAGGATGTGTACATCCCATAACAGAGTATCTCGGATGGAGACCCACCCCTGCTTCTGATCCAGCTTCTGCTGATATGCCTGGGAGGCAGCAGTTGATGGCTCGAGTACTTGGGTCCCTGTCACCTATACGGAGACCCGGATGGAGTTCCCGGCTCCTGGCGTCAGCCTGGTCCAATCCCAGCTGTGACAGGCATCTGGAGAGTGAGCCAGCAGAGGGAAAATCTTTCTCTCTCTCCTCTCTCTCCCTGTCTCCCCTATGCTCTGCCTTTCAAATGAACACAAGTGAATAAATTAACATTTTTAAACATTATCTTTGCTATATGTATCTTGAGAGAAATTAAAGGAATCGAATTTATAATTAAAGCTATTACCTGAATAGGTGTGATCTTGACTTTAATGAATTAACAAGTAAGCTTCTTACTATAAGTATTTCATTAATGTTAAGCCATATTTGATTTAGAAACCACTTACACTTAATTTCTGGCTTAGTGTTCAGTGAAAATCATCTATGCTGACAGGTACAGGTTCTAGATCCTGTACTTGATCGCTTTTGGGTCACTTAGTGACAATGGGAAAGAGGGCATAAAGCTGTAATCGAATTTCTTGTAATACTTGTCAGAGACAACCTTCATGGCAAAAGTTTGGTTGGGAAATGCATAGCTTTTAAAAAAAATTTTTAAGATTTATTTACGTATTTGAGAGGCAGAGTTACAGAGACAGAGTGAGGTCGTTCATCTGCTGTTTCACTCCCCAAATGGCTGCGACGGCTGAAGCCAGGAGCTAGGCGTTTCCTCCGTGTCTCCCACGTGGATGCAGGGACCCAAGCACTTGGGCCATCTTCTACTGCTTCCCCAGGCCATAAGGGAGCTGGATTGGAAGTGGAGCAGCCAGGACTCTAAATGGCACCGGTATGGGATGCCGGCACCACAGGCAGAGGTCTAACCTACTACGCTGCAGCGCCAGCCCCAGAAAATACGTACTTTTTTAAACTCAGATTTCGTTCTATAAGCATTGGTTGGGGAGGAGGCAAAACAAATGAGAATGCCTCATTAAAAACAAAAGCCTGATATGTTGCACTTACTAAAATCACTTTTTCTTTTCTTTTTCTATGACGATTTTGAATAGCTCATTAGTAAGAAAACTGAGGACAGCTGTGATGTGTTACAAGCCCACCAGAAATGGGATCAGAGGCTCTGGGTTTGAATTCAAGTTACTCACAAATGTAAGAAGGTAATATTTTTATCCCTCTTTGGTTAAAAAGCATTTTTTTTTTTTTTGGACAGGCAGAGTTAGACAGTGAGAGAGACAGAGAGACAGAGAGAAAGGTCTTCCTTTTTCCGTTGGTTCACCCCCCAAATGGCTGCTATGGCCGGCGCATTGAGGCCGGCGCATCGCGCCAATCCGAAGCCAGGAGCCAGGTACTTCCTCCTGGTCTCTCATGCGGGTGCAGGGCCCAAGCACTTGGGCAATCCTCCACTGCCTTCCTGGGCCACAGCAGAGAGCTGGACTGAAAGAGGAGCAACCGGGACAGCATCCGGCGCCCCAACCAGGACTAGAACCCAGGGTGCCAGCACCATAGGTGGAGGATTAGCCTAGTGAGCCATGGCACCAGCCCTTAAAAAGCATTGTTAAGGGGTTGCCAGGTATGATCTGTATGTGCTCCATCATACGACATTCTCAGCATATGTAGTTTTTATGGGGAAAATATTCTTTGTGGTTTTGACCCCAGTAATGCTGCCATGGTAGAGATGATGGTAGAATAATGTATCTTTATAAGAAGATTGTTCTTTATTTCGTTGGCTCTTTTCCCTTATGGAATTCATTCGCATTGGTGTTTTTTAAAAAACAAGTATAACTCAGGCCGAAATAAAACACTAACCTAAAAGGAGATGCCAGTTTTCATTCAGTGTTTAACTTTGCGAGGATAGAGATGAGAGATTAAGCAGACAGACGGTTGGCCACATGTGACTTAAGCAGCATTGCTGGTTATTTTACCAGGCTTTGGATCAAGGTTCGCTTGAAGTAGATTATGCTGTGGGTAAATCCTTGGATGATCAAAGGTGAACGGCAGTGCCCTCTGCCTTCTTTGCACCAAAACATTACATGGTGGTTTTACTTCTGCAAAAAGAAAAGAGAAGTGAACTTCCTAAGGGCAAAGATCAGAGCCAGGTAGTGTGAAATGTGAGATTGATGTTGACGTGCACGGGAGCTGTAGAGCAACGAGGAGCAGAGGGGAGGACAAAGCCCCTGTACAGATGTTGTGTGCTCTGGCAGCAAATCTGTTCTGTAGCCAAGAGGTAAGCACTTAGCCAACCCAGCTTGTTTCTGGTGTGATGTGTCAGAGCTTTATCTTATCAGTCTGGTAGTCAAGATTTGTGTAGAGATAGTTGTTGAAGACTACCTTGTCACCAGTAATTAGGTGTTGTTAGAGGCTGCATGCAGGTTACATGCAGATGAAAGGAAGATAATTTGATGATGCAGTAACCTAGTACCCGCTAATTCAGGACCATAGAGAAAAGTTGGTTGATTAAGGCTTCAGGCAGATAAATTTTACTACAGGTGGACATAAGGGGTTAGTCCAGCTTGGTCTGTTTCCAAGGAAGCAGACTTTTTCCAAGATTAGAATCCACAATACTGGTGGAAGCAGGGATCTCAGGGACAGGCCCTTTGGTGCAAGATGAAAGTAGGGCTGCCCTGTGTTGCAGCTGTGAGGACGAGTACTGCTTTTGTGAGGTTGTCTCAGCAAAGTTAGCCACCTGCCCCAGAACAGGTGTGCGGACAGGTTAAAAAAAAAAAAGCCACAGAAGTTCTTCAACTAACTCATTTTTCAAACAACACTCAGGCAGAATAGTACATTTTTACGCACTTATAAACTCTTATCTCTTTAATTTATAAGTACATTTGAACACTTACTATGTACTCAACAGAAGAGCAGAATGAGAGAAGTCTAAGATAGAATCCCCGTTCATTTGCTCTCCGTGAAACACATTAGATTGTGTGTGTGTGTGTGTGTGTGTGTGTGTGTAATGCCCAGCCTGGTACTCCTTGGGCTTTTTATGAACATGCTTGCACTGCAGTACATCATATTTACTAGAATGTCAGAGCATGGGTTTGCACAGCTTACAAACAGTTGCAAGAGTAATACCCCTTGTATCTGCCGCCTTTGTGAAGAAGTAGAAGAGGGGGAGGGGCGAGGGGAGGTGTCTGACCAGCGTCATGGTCCATTTTCTACAGCTATGACAGAACACCGCAGGCGTTGTTTCTCACAGTTCTGGAGGCTGGGAAGTGCAACATCGAGGTTCTTCTCAGTGCTGAGAGGCAGGTACGCATGCAGAGGCAGAGATCAGGCCCAGTGAACTGTCTTCACCGGGAACTCGCGCCTCCCTAACTGACCCACCCCTGCTGGAACGCTATTTTTTTTTTTTTTTTTTGACAGGCAGAGTGGACAGTGAGAGAGAGAGACAGAGAGAAAGGTCTTCCTTTTGCCGTTGGTTCACCCTCCAATGGCCGCCGCGGTCGGCGCGCTACGGCTGGCGCACCACGCTGATCCGATGGCAGGAGCCAGGTGCTTCTCCTGGTCTCCCATGGGGTGCAGGGCCCAAGCACCTGGGCCATCCTCCACTGCACTACCTGGCCACAGCAGAGAGCTGGCCTGGAAGAGGGACAACCGGGACAGAATCCGGCGCCCCAACCGGGACTAGAACCCCGTGTGCCGGCGCCGCAAGGTGGAGGATTAGCCTAGTGAGCCGCGGCGCTGGCCTGGAACTCTATTAAGCTACTCGTGACCTCATCGCCCTGGAAAGACCCTGAGGACTGTCACAATCCAACTAGATTTCAGCGTGAGCTTTAGAGGGGACATTTAGACTCTAGCAACTAGCATGCCGGAAGCCTGGGTCTCTGCCCAGTCCCTCTCCTCACAGTTGTCCCCTATGGCCTGAATAAGCTCTGATGTCACTCTTTAGCCATTCCCTTGAGTTTTCTCTCTTGAATGTGCATCCAGATGCACCTTATATACCCATGTAGTTAAGTTTATATAAATAGAATCCTGCTTTGTATCCTCTTTGGTCTTGCTGCTTCTCTTTGTTATCCATGTTATGAATGTAGATTGAGTCTGTTCACGGTCACTGCTATGTAGTGCTTTGCCGTATAAATATGCCACACCTTGTTTATCCTTTCTACTGTGCAGCACAGCTGGGTTGCTTACAGTTTGCACCTGCGACAGATAATGCAGCTATGGATATTTTGTGCTGTCTCTGGGTGCACGCAGACTTGCGTTTCTGTTGGACATAGTCTTAGTTCATAAAAATTAATGACATGACAGAGGTCAATGGAACTGTCTTTTTCTCAATGAAAATTTACTGAGCCAGTCATTGAGTGAGGAAAAGAAGTGCTCTTTGGTTATTCTAAGGTGGCAGATGCTCTCTGGACAATAAAAATCACCATTTTTATCCAGATAAATAAAAAAGAGAGGATCCAGATTTGTACTTTTGCCTAAGATTAATAACCAGAGGTGTGGTTCATCATGAAAATAAAATTCGTTTTAGTTTAAGCCATCTCTGGTATCATTTCTTAAATTCTAAAATTAACAGGACAAAAAGTCCCTCAAAGGCAGGGACTGTGTTATACATTGCTTTTATGTACTTGACAGTGACCATGAATGCTGTTCAGGTGTTAAGTCCCAACTAAATAAGCATTACCTTGCTAAATATACTTCAGAGTCAAATTATTTGTACAAACGGCTGTAATTTCTCAGCTATCCAGAACTTTAATTTTCCCTTTATCCTAAAAATGCAGCCAAGGTGGATTCCTTTCATTTAAAACTCCTTCTGTTTAAAGGCTTTTTCATGAAAGATGAAAAATAATGAATCAGCTACTGCTCTATTTTCTCCTGTTTTTCTTTCTTCATTATTCCTTTACACATGTCCTACCTATGAGTACTGTTGCTGTACGTCTGAGACCTTTTTAAGTTATAATTTGAGCCTTTTATTTGCCTTTTAATGTGGGAGACAAAACAGATAATATAGTCAGAGGCAAGCTCATGCCTTCTGCTGGGCCCATGCTTCAAAGCCTGGGTGTTTGGGGCTTGGCCTGATGTTGCCAGGTCAGGCCAGATCATAGCAAATTCATTTCAGTGCCTTCCTGTTTTTATACTTTGTTCTGCAGCCTCACCGGAAGCTTCACACTTCTTAGCTGAAGTCTTGTTCCTGTTTACAAGAGAGGACCACAGGCCTAATGCAGTCAACCCGAGTACTTTACGGCTCATTCCAGAACCATTTCAGGGGTTGGGGAAAAGGCTCTTTAATTGAAAAATGACTTAGGCGGGATCAGGCTAGGAGACAACAGTGCTTCCAGGGAATTCACCATTTTACACCACAATTCATTTGGCACCTTTGTTGCAACAACTGTGTTTGAATTTTTTATTTGCAGTAAAAAGAGTGCTCTTAAATATGGTACTGCCTCACTTAAACTATTCACTTCCCAGGTGTGCAGTGCTTTGCCGCAAGAAAAAGTCATCCATGCCCCCTCACCCACAAAAGGAAACTGCTCTCTGGGTTTCCCTTTTGTTTTGTTTCTCTGTGGCAGCTTTGCGGCCTGATGCCCAGCTTCTTAACATTCACCTCTCACAGGATGCAATTCACTCTCATGTTTTTCATGCTTCTAGAAGGAAACACTGTTTGCAAACACCAGTAGAAATTTTCTTTTTTTTAAAAGCTTGATTCGATGTATTTGAAAGCAGAGTGACAGAGGGGGAGAGAGAGAGAGATCTTCCATCCACTGGTTTACTCCCCTAATGGCTGCAACAGCCAGGGCTGAACCAAGTCGAGGCCAGGAGCCTGCAACTCCATCTGGGTCTCCCACATAGGTGGCAGGAATCTAGGTACTCAAGCCATCTTCCACTGCTTTCCCAGACACTTGAGCATGGAACCGGACAGAAGTGGAGCGGCCAGGACGCTAGTGCTCCCATTTGGGATGCCAGCATCAGAAGTGGTGGCTTAAGCCACTTGTGCCACCATACCCGCCCCTAGAAATATTTGTTTTCTCTGTTTGACTTTCTTGGCACAGAAAGTGCTTCTGTGGGACAACTGAGAGCATCGTTTTTGATTGATTTTTTTTTTT